TGAGGGTGTTGACAACGAGACCCATAGTGCGTGACATGGGTTTTTTTATCATGTGCACACCAGATATATACGCTTCGGCGAATCATTAAATGAATGGCTTGTTAGAATGCGGAAGTACTTCTTGAGCGAGGAAGCTTCGGTCGCGTTGAAAGAATTTCTCAACGCATCGCGGCTATCATTTAATGCAAGCTCACTCATCATGAGTGAGCTTATATTAAAATCTTTTATTTCTATCTAATTATCTAATTAAGTAAGTAAATATTTCGATTACACCGAAATGTTTAAGTAATATTTTAATAAATATTTAATTAATAATTTAATAAATATATTTAATTAACTAATATCCGCTTTAACTGAAAATAAGATTTCTTTTACTCTTAGTTAGATTTATTCTTATCGGTTCAATATTATATTATAATTCTTGTATTTTACATTAAAATCTCTTATTTATAGAAAACATTATTCTTGAGGTCTTTTAATGAAGATTACGTGGTTTTACCAGTGCGGTTATTTCTGCGGTTTTCGCATGATCGAAGTTACGAGTACAAATTTAATGAAAAGTGTGTGTGGAGCGGATGAAAAAAACGGCAATTCATTCACACTCACGCTATTACAAGAGCGACTCCGACCGATACTTCGTCTTTACGAACGATCGCCCATGTGTTCTGCACCAGTTTCTTTTGCTTCTCGGTCAGGCCGAGTTTCTCGTCTAATTTATTGTCGTTCAGAAAGAAATCAAACAGACCACGGAACAGTGCCATGTTCGCGTCAGCGAGTGGGAACAGAGCCTGATCTATGGAAAACAATTGCACCGTTGATCAGATGATTATTCCACAAATGATCTTCACAATAGGAGACTTAACTTCTCGTTAAGAACAACTAAAGAAATTTACTCGTATATGCGGTATTAACGTTAAATGTAATAGATGGTAATTTTTTAATGTTTCTTTGCAAAACTTGATGATCACTCGATCACGATTTAATCGCGTGCATTCTCTAAATTTTTTGCAGTGAAATCTTACTCTAAAGAGTAAAATCTCACTCTTTAGAATGAGATTCCATTCCAACAAATTTTAAGACTATTTTTACAATTAATATCTAATAAAGGATCGGATAAAAAATGATCTCAAAGAAAGATATGAAATATTTGGATGAAATAGTTATTTTTGTCGTATCTTAAATATATTAAGCAATATAAACATAAATATAGTAGGCTAATGAGAGTCAGCAACGATAAACGGCGCAATTATTTAGTGAACAATCAATATTCAAATATTGGATTGATGTCTTCTTTATTTGAACACTCCATGTTCCATGATGATTAACAACGCTGCAATTTTGGTAATTTGCGAGTGATTTAAGCATTATGGACATGTGAGCTAACTATACTTGTATTATGCTTGCTGAGGAGGACTCCAAAGAGAGTCGAAACGCACAAATAAAGAAGACATCAATCCAATATTTGAATATTGATTGTTTACTAAATAATTGCGCTATTTATCATTGCTGATTCTCATTAGCCTATATTTATGTTTATATTGTTAAAAATTCAAGAGTTATAATTATTCTTGTTAAATGTATTAATTATTTCAGATAATATTATATCCAAATTCATATTTCTTAAAATAATAAAAATCCAACATTAACTAATTTATTACTGAAAGACAATTAATTATCTATTTGGAGAACTTACTTTAAATATTATTAAAGCAGTGAACAATACTTTTAATACTCAAAATAAATAATTAATTACTGTCTTTCAATATTAAATTGGTTCATATTATATTTCTATAAGGAACATGAAAACTGTACGATACTGAAATGTAGTAGAGAAAGATGCGAGAAAATACGTAGTCATATTTAAAAAAATAAATAAATACTTTTATATGAAAACAAGCGTTATCTCTGAATATGTAAACTGCTTCGGCATTATATAAGCGACAGTAATCTGGATTTGCGCATTCGTTAAAAAGAGAAAAACGCCCTTTTTAATATACAACATTTGCACGCACGTTGAATGTTAACCAACCGATTATTTATTACGCGATACAAACAGATCATTGCAACAGATGGTTTTCTCGCGTTCTCCGAGATCGATTAATAAAATTCGCGCGCAAAGATCACGATAAAATATTTAACAGTAAGCTAATAAAGAAAATGAAAGGAGCGACGAATTCAAAGCAAGATCAAGCGTCATTCGAGCGTTCGTACGAGCGACTCTCGTTCGCGACATCAATTCAGCCTTTGACAATGCTTTTGAGGCTTCCATGGATAACTTTCTGTACAGAAGCTATGCGTTTCACGGATTATCTTCATATCCAGATCCATCATTAGGGGAGCTTTTCAGCAAGAGACACAAATTGACACAAGAGTCATCCTGTCCTTGTTCGATAATCAGTAAGAAACAAAGACAGAAACAATGATTCTCGTGTCGATTTGTGCCTCTGCTGGAAAGCTCCCTAGAATGCCAACGTTTCGTGAACATTATACAGTTTACTTTATTATGAGAAACAGCCTGATACAAAACGTTGGCATTGTAATAATGGATCTGAACACAGAGACAATCCGCGAAACGCATAGCTTCTGCAATTAAGCTTTTCTTTTTCTCTCGATTTCGGTATCGCAATTGCTTAAATCGCTCGTGAATGAATTAGAGATAGAGCGTGAAAGATAACTGAGCTAATACCAGAGGCAGAGCGAGGAAGAGAAACGGGGCGGCTGGAAGCACTGCGCGAGCGACTATACGGACTGACACGATGAGGCCTCGCTTATCGAGAATCGTATCAATTACGTTGTAATTCAGTACGATATGTCACGTGCCACGCGTGCACTGGTCAAGCGGCGACTACTCGATGTCGGCGGCCGATCTAACTATTTTAAAGTCGTCCCCACTCCACTTCCGAAGATAACCCGATGGAGGAATTGCGTTATACGCGAGACGTTTCCATAAGACAAACTCCGTGAACTGGACTATTTTTAGAAATCTCGATTGAAGGATTGAACAATGACAGGAAATACATAACGCTGATAATGAGCAGTAGGATCATTCCTCTTTCGATTATTTTGTTAATTGAATCTAGTAGAACGACGACTATGTAGTGAGATTTGTTTCGTCTGTCGATTTGGGGAAGCAAAACTGCGTTTCTACTTGCATTTAAATGTAAATGCGTGTGTAATATTTTATTTAAATTAATCCTTACTTCTGTAATATTTTGTTTTATGTTCATGTATTCTATGCAATTAATTTTAATTATATTTTTAGAATCTTTAAGATGCTATAAAAGTTTTGAATAATGCGCATTTAAATATTTTATATATTATATATATATATATTTTTTTTAAATTTATTAATACTTATATATATAATATATTTTCACGACTTTGTAATATTTTTATAAATTAAAAAATTTCGAATCCTAACACACATAAAATTTTTTTTCTCATAACTACAACTACTTTTGTTTGATGAAACTTATTAGAAATTAATATCATACTGTTCATATAGCACCAAATTTTGCAGCAGCATTGCTGCAACGTTTGCAATGTTATTGCAATATTACTAGAATAATAATTACGTTCCGTAGAGGAAGTAGCTTTGCAACTATTATGAAACTTTTTAATATAATTAGCTGCGTTCAGCAAAAAAAGCAGCTTTGCAACTGTTGTAAAATTCTTGAATATGATTGGTTTATACATTTAGATCCAGTGAGAAACCAAGGGCAAGATCAATCATTGCAAAGCTGCTTTTACTGCTGAACGCAGCTATTGGTTTTTTTCTTTAGTTTCTTACTGAATCTAAGTGTATAAATTAATCATGTTAAAAGAATTTTATAACAGATACAAAGCTGCTTTCTTTACTGAATACAGCCATATTTCAGTGTTCAATATTATTGGAACGATCTCTGTGTTGTATATATATATATGTCTTTGTATAAATATATATACCCCATACACGCAGTTCTTCAAAGAATTTAAGGACGTTTATATATCCTTATATAAGATATCCCCAGGATGTCTGTCGGAGAATTGCGTTGTGTGGAACTATGGATAATTTGTGTGTGTGAACTTCGAAATTAATTAATTTTTTCCCAATAAGATTTAAATCCAGAAAACTTTGATGAATATACAATAGCAGAATATTTTTTCACATACTAGTGATGATCGCGCGTCATTTATTGCACTGTTCGTTGTTGCAGCTCGAAGTAGGGGACGATTTGCAATGGCCGCCGAGCTTGTAGAAGTGAAGGTACCGAAGTCGCGGCGCTGTCATTTGATGCTGATCGCGCAAACAGTGTTTAAGTTACGGTGAAATACTTTTAAGAGAGATGCCTCACGTGCGGGAATCTCACTCACTTTTAGACGATCGCGAAAAACACAGAAACGTTTCGAACGCGGATCATCTTGCGACACCGTTGTGACCGGCGTTCCGTGACTGACCGAGATTCGAAACGTATCGAAGTCATTGCGATTCTCGAAATATCGAAGCGGCGGGCCAATTGCGACAATCGGCTGCATTCATTCTAATCATCCTTTTCGTGCTTGGTATTTTGTTCCATGGCATTTAGTTCAAATTATATGTAATAAAATAAATAAAAAATTATTATTATTATTATTATTATTTAATTGATTAATTCTACTGGCATTATATAGGTATAATTTATTGCCTCTCTGATTCGATTTTTCTGTTCATAAAATAATAAAAAACTGTCCAATATTAATATTAATAATTTTATTAGCAAAATAATACACAGATGCTGCTTAATAAATTGTCAATTAAATTAGTCGAAGATCGATCGAAGTCGTTAACAAAATGCCATGCCAATCTGATCGAGGATCATTCAAAAATTTCAAACTCGAACAGAGAGAGAGAGAGAGAGAGAGAGAGGGGGGGGGGGGGGGGGGGGGGAGAGGGGGAGAGAGAGAGAGCGATGTTGCGATTCTCGAAATACCGAACATAATCCTCGATCCTTAATTCTTAATGACATGATGCTTGATGGTGATTTATTCTCCAAACGAGAACGATTTAAAAAAAAAACAAGGAGTAGAAGATACAATAATTGCGAATAAACTGCTGTTTATCACAACTATTGATTTATTTTGGGTGTGATTCATATTCATTTCTGTGATTATAGTCATCTCGTGCTTTTGAGGTTAGTTGTTAAATGTGACTCTTTTAACTTTGTTTTTATTACTCTTCAATTGTATTATATTACCATCATCTTATGAAAGATAAGATCTAGATTTCATAAAAGATGCAAAACTTTTTTCTTTTTTTATTAAAGAAACTAGTGTTCGTTTGTATTTATTTCTAAAATCGTTCTGTATCATAACAAGAAATAAATTAAAAGCTTAATAAACTGATATGGCTTGGGCATTTTTTGTTTCAGTACTACAAAAAAATCAAACTTTGCAAAATTCTTTAAAAATATATTATGACATAATTAATAGAGATTTATGTGAACATATATAGAGGCTTTGTAATTTGGTATGAATTTTGAATGATTTATTTAAACAGGTCAATATTTAGATCGCAACAATGAATAAAAATTTGGTGGACCGTATTCTGAATGTGTACAAATCAACTGAGCCTCTCAAATTAGATCTGCCAGTTCCTTCTATTAACCAACGCGTACATGAAGACATGATATTTGATAAAGGATCTTATTTTCCTAGTACTAGCCAATGTAGCAAGGAATCAGAAACAGAATACGTAAAGGAATATGTACATAAAGAGGAACAAGAATACATACAGGTAATTAGCATTAAGATATATATAATAATTTACCAGTCTACATTTTATTCATTTTACTCTGTTATTCTTGCCATTTCATGCAGATGAAAAACAACATGTTTTTCAAGACTGATGATATGGACAACATATCGGAGATATCTGAAGAAATAGCAGTTCGCAAGGAAGATACTATTCGACTTTACCAAACGTACAACTTTGCCTATCGACCCCAAATTAATTTAGCTGTTCTATCTATGAAAAACAAAATTGTGTCTATGATTGCAAGCAATTCTGTCGTCATCATTCGTGGTTCTACAGGTTGTGGGAAAACAACACAAGTGCCACAACTTATTCTTGATGCAGAATTTCAAAGGAAGCAGCACTGCAACATCATAGGTATTTTCAAATTTCTTTATTTATACTTAATTTTAATAATACTTTACCAATGTAATACAAGAACTTTTGTATTTCGTAGTAACACAGCCAAGGCGTATTGCTGCCATGAGTATTGCTAAACGGGTCAGTCAAGAAAGAGATTGGCCCGTTGGTACGCTTGTGGGATATCAAATGGGCTTAATCAAAAATGTAAACCGCGACACTCGCATAACTTATTGCACGACTGGCGTGCTTTTAAACAGGCTGACGAACAAGAAGCATATGATGGACTACACTCATATTATATTAGATGAAGTACACGAACGCGACGAAGATATGGATTTCCTTCTGTTGGTAGTGAGGAAATTATTACGTACAAATTCTACAATGGTTAAAGTTATACTGATGTCCGCGACAATCGACGTGGATAAATTTTCATCGTATTTTTCGACACCCGTGGAAGATCAACTTTTACCTGCTCCAATCATCGATATACCTAAAGGTGGTCCTTATGAAATTTCTATATATTATATAGACGAGCTGGAGAATTTGGGTGTAGTAAGTACATATTTTTTGTACGATTAAAGCATAATTAAGTCGTACGTTTCAGTTTAAAAAAAAACAAGTATGATCTTTATCTACTTTAAAGATGGAGAGAAAAGAAAACATTATATGTTAACAGGATTCTGTATTCTTAAAGTAGAGATTGCCATTGCTTTTCATTATTTCAAATGTTGTTTCACATTGAATAAATTTTTGCTAATATTTAAAAAATGTTTTAATAACTTAGAATAAGAATATTGCTAATAAATAATTTACTTCATTTTCTTTCTTTTTTTATTTTGATTAATGCAATTAATGGAGAAGCAATCATGGAAAATATATTGTCTTTTTATACAGATACCTGAAATATCCGAGCAACCAGCATTCATGGCCTCTATAGCGGAATTTGCCGCACGTGTTATAGAAATTTTCGACGGTATTGATAACAAAAATAATGTTCCAAATTATGAATTCGAAAGGGCCGCTGTGCTAGTATTTTTACCAGGATTTAGTGAAATCGAGGATTTACGTTCTATACTTCTATCAGAGAAACATGAGGGTACACAGTGGGATATAATTATTTTACATTCGTTGATCTCAACCGAGGAACAAGAAAATATATTTAAGAAACCACCGAAAAATCATCGGCGTATCATATTATCAACGAACATCGCTGAGAGTAGCATTACGGTACCCGATGTTAAATACGGTATGCTATATTCAATCAAGACTAAGTAATATTTGTTGGATTATTTTTAGTTCTGTGAGTCGAGATAGAACTACTAATAAAATTCTCACTTTTTTGTTCAGTGATTGATTTTTGCTTGACAAAACTTCTTGTCACCGAGCCTGGAACTAATTATCAATGTCTGCAACTTTGTTGGGCAAGCAAGTCAAATTGTCAGCAACGTGCTGGACGTACAGGCCGTGTAATGGATGGTAGAGTATACAGAATGGTATCAAGAGCATTTTACGAGGTGAATATAGTTTCACATCAAAATGTCACTTTCAATGTTTCGACTTTAATTCTTTGCAGAACCTATAAATCATTTGAATATTACAGAATGTGATGAACGACGAATCTGTTCCGGAAATGCTCAGGGCTCCACTTGCGAATGTCGTTCTTAAGACGAAATTGCTGGATATGGGTGAACCAAAAGCTCTCCTCGCTCTTTCACTAGATCCACCTAATCTTAGCAACATACGGAGCACTATATTGTTATTAAAGGAAGTTGGTGCGCTGCTTAATAGAGATACACAAGAATTTGATGGAGATATGACGCCTTTGGGTCTTGTAATGGCCAATCTTCCATTAGACGTGCACGTAACGAAGTTTGTTATTCTGGGTCATATTTTCGGCATCCTGTCGGACGCAATCATTATCGCGGCTAGCATGACTGTTAAGGATATATTCAATATCGGATTTCACGAATTAGAGACAACCTATCACGAAAAAATGCATTGGTCCGCTAAGTCCGATAGCGACAGCATAGCCTGCTTGAATGCTTTCAAAGTGTGGCAAAATGATAAGGCAAATCGTCGTATAAACAATCCTAATCAGGAAAGAGAATGGGCGCGACGAAAGAGTCTCCGCGTGAGATCGCTACGTGAGATCGATGCCTTTATAAGTGAGATAAAACATAAGCTGTACCAATTTGGCATAAAAGAGACGACGGGTCCTGAGAGAATCACTTGGGAAAGTCTCTTTATCGATCGATATTTTGTACTTAAATTTATAATCGCCGGTGCATTTTATCCCAATTATTTCGTCAAATTTCCATATAAAGTAAACGAACGCATACAAGATATAAAGAAGATGTTAGCTGATCGCGATCCGACAAATACAATCGTCCTACGAGGCTGGCCGATTAAACAGCCTGGGTCATTGTACTCTAAAAGATTCCAAGAGATCTTCGGACAGCATATGCTCATAGACCCCAAAGACTACGAGAACATAACCGTATCCTTCGACGGATCGAACCGTGTTTATATAGAATATGAGCAAAAGAATCGTGTAATGTCCAACTACACTTTCGTTCGGAATTCTGTTAAAATCAGGCAATGTCGGATCCCGATCCAGATAAACTTATTAAGCCAGATAGATGCTTGTCGCAAAGCCGAAGATCTTGGGCTTACAAAGGATTACGGAAGAATTCTGTTCGACCAACCTACCAAACCGAATGAACCACCAAGTAGACGATACATGTATGATAAAAAACCATATCCGGATTTACCGGAAAGTTACGAATATCAATCCAAGGTGACGTTGCAAGGTCCCTTTTCGCCGATAGAGGTTCAACTTGTTCATATGCTAACTAATGGACTAATAAAAAAAGTCATCATGGAAGCCACATCGGTCAACTCCGTTCTCCTTGATACTTGTCCGGAAAATCCAAATGGAATTTTTCTAGTGGCGCAAAACATCATTCGAGATTCCAAGAATTTGGGACACCTGACTCTACGGAACACAACCCTCTTGCCCACTACACCTGGCCTCACATCGCTAATTACCTTAATTTTTACACCGTATATGGAACTGCGACGTAGCCCTATGGGCACTTATTACATAGGCGCTCTGTGTGGACTGGGATACAATCGTACTACAGGGGAAAGCTTGTTTCCGGATCATGATGTGGAAATTATGTTTGACGTCGAAATTACGATGAATGATTTACGAATGGTACATTGTCTAAATTACATCGCACTATACGTTGTATGATATAATCAGATATATCTGAAATTTTCTTTTGTCTGTATTTATATAAGTATAAAAATTGAGGCAATTAACGTGAATCATAAAAATTCTGTTGGCAGATTAATAAGTTACGTCATTGGATGAATATTGCTATGCACTTCAATGCTAGATCTGAAATTGTAGACGAGGATGCTCATCACGATATGACTGTAAATTGCCAAAATCAAGTTAAAAATGCATTCAAAGATGTGATATACAAAACTCGTAACAAAATAGATCCAGTTCCAATCAGTAACTTCGGCAAATGGAACCGATATGATGAGACTCTGTTTCTCGTGCCTGCTCGGGAAACATCAAAGAAAAGTAACGTCTACAGTTTACACAAAGCATTAGAATTAAATGACAGAAATGACAAACTTGAAGAAATGATCAGGCACCTGTTAGAATTAGAGGCTTTAGCTCATCAGTAAGTGACATATCATTAGTAATGTATTCTGTTAAATTCGGATCATTCAAAATACGTTGTTCTTTAATGTTATTAATATAATATGAATATTGTACTTTTTCTGTGTACAGGGATCCGCGTGAGAAGAGTGTTGGACTCGTTATTTGCAAATTGTGTCTAACGGAAGTATACGGCATTATCAACCTTCGTGCACATCTGTGCTCGAAATATCATAAAAAGAAACAACAAATGATAGATACAACTTCTGAATTTGGAGAAAATCTGCAGAGTCTTATGGACAAACTGGCGTTATAATAATACATAAATTTAAATTATGGACAAATTGAGGCTATAATAATACATAAATTTGAATTTATGTTTAATTATTTCTTTTGTTATTTTGTAACGTTATTTTATTTTGTAACTTGTATTTTTTAAATTTATTGCAATCTCGTGTTTTTTTTTACTTACATGAAGTATTAAAGTAGGTTAGGTTTATCTTATAGACAAATGATAAGTACAATGTTGTTATTCATTATATAGGAATAATTCTAGGAACTTATTGTGAATATAAGATCATAAGAAGAAATTGTTTTTTTTACAGAATTTTTTTCTTTTTATACTAATTTCATAATTGAGTACATGCTATTTTTTTCACAATGACAAATTAATTTACTTATTAAGTTGAATTTTTTGTCATACAACCACAAGCTTTCTGTAAATGTTATTATACAATGTAATGTACAACATATGATGAATTACACATTTATATTACTTTGTCAAATATCCATGAAATTATACAAATTTTACAATTATCTAATTGGAATTACATTGTATGTTTTATATAATGATCTTCAAATTTCTGTGATTTGTGTAGGGTATCTCATACATATGCATTCTTATTTTTTATATTCATATTTGCATTTGATATACTTAATAGAAATTGTTATTTAATGATATAATAGGAAAAACGCAAAAGATCAATTATAACTTCTAATTGCAACATTTTCACAAAACAACGTCTTAAAGCTATTTTTACAAATATTTACTTGCAGTTGAAAATCCGAAATACTATTTTTTTATTTCGAGTTAATTATTAATTTTGTGTAATAGTATAATACAATTTTAAAAAGTAAAATTATATTAAAATATTTATATAAAATAATATTCATATATTTATATATTTATTGAAAATAACAAAAATTTTGATTAAAGAACAAAAAGTATATTTTATTCTTAATTTGACTTCATTCTTTATGTATTTTACACATATGACCTTCTTTGCATTTTATAAAATGTACACAAATGTTGACTTATCAATTCTTGTTTAATCATCAATTCTTGATCAGTGCAATTCATAGTTTTCAATATTTTATACCCTGCACAAGAAATAAAGATTAAAAAATCTGTCATTAAAACGTACGATCCTATATTTCTCGTTGAAGGTAGCGAGCACTAGGTTGTGTATATAGCAGCCTACCAGGTACGTTGGCAGCTGAACCACTCACATAAGTACCAGGAGATGGTGGCGGTGGTGGCGGGTATGAACTAGGTGGTGGTGGTTGAGGTGCTCGTACAGGATAACCAGAAGTAATCCCGCCAGTTTTCGCACCCTACATTAATTGACAAAAAATAGAAGTTCAGAGACACAAGTAAATATGTACAATAACATTTTTATAATAAATGTATTATTATAATATGGATGTACAAAATAGTTGCTGCCAAACTCGATCAAATTCATTTTCAATTTTGTTAATCAACTTTTTGCTTTGTAAAAAATGGTAAAAAGGATACAAAGAAATTGTTTAAATATAACCTGAGGCGGTTGTTGAATCGGGATAGCTCCACCGTGAACGGTAACGTGATTCGTTGGTCGCAAGTAAAACTTGTCTTCACCATAAGCACCCTTATGCTCCATCGAGTGTAAATTAGTTACGTATGCTACAAAGTATAACTTTCTTTTAGTAAAGTATAATTTTTTAGTAAATAAATTTTTTTAATTTTATTCATTTTTTATTCACTTTTATTTATTTTTTATTTCTGAATCGCAATATGCAATTATTATCGTTTAACTATTATCACATTTCTTTCTTGTTTAAAAAACTAGCTATATGAGTGTAATATTCTTTTTATTTGTAGCGGAATTTTTTCGATTTTCTTTCTTTTCTTCTCCTTATTCCTTTCACGAATTTATTAATTTAGGTCAGAATAAATATAATATTGAACTACTGTTGAGTGATAAGATAAATTTTATTACCAGTTTGATGTGTGGCTAATGGTGCTCTACCGCTCGAAAGATAAACTGGTTTAGCCGATTCCGAGGGTTCTCGAGATGGCTGTGACGCTGGTGCGGAATAACTGTAGACACTCTGGCCTGTGGGCGCCGAGTAAAAGTTCGATGCAGAGTACTGATTATTCTCTGTTGAGTGAGAAGAAAAATAATTAAGATGGAAGAATGAATAACCTGGAAAAGCAGTGAAAAACACTTATATTTTGTACTCAAGAAAGCAAAGAAGAGACACTCACTGTTCCAAAGAACTGCCCGAGCATCACCGGATCTTCTGGCAGCTTCCTCAGCTTCTACATAAGCACAAATACAAAGCACCAATGTTCAATGCCATTCACGACTTAAACACAGAATTTTCAGTAAAAAATTATAGTGTTATCACTTAAAGACTTAATTTATGTGGTATTTAAACTTATTTTTTTCTAAAATTTTGCTGATTATTGTTAACGAATGTAAATGAACACGTGTGATGTTCTTATAAAATATATATAATTTTATATTACTTACTAGGAGGAGGTGGATTATAACTTGGGATAGACGGTGGCGGTTTGTAGCCATACGCGCTGTGATATGATGCAGCTGGTGGCGGCGACGGAGTATGAGTCCTTTTCATAGTTCCCTGAAGACAAGAAATATTCAAATGCAAAATTTATTCTAAAGAAAATATATTTTTAAGAGTAAATTTTTAGAATATATATAGTAAGGTGCCATAAAGATTGGGATTAAACTTATACAATATAATGTGTTAATGAGGTTGAGAAACTGTTCACACATATGTTTAAAAATTTAGTCTTGACTTTTATGGACACTATAATCAATATATATTATATATAAAGGTTGTGCTCTGTTATTTACTGCTAATCTATAGTATGCATTAAACTATAGATTTTCAGTATTTTCCGTAAATAACAGAACACAGCCGAAGTATATACCGATGAGAAAGTTTCATTTACACTTTGTAACAGATGAGTTGGAGTACCAACAGCAACCTTGTAGAGAGGACTGCTGCTACGTGGTAACGGCAAAAACAGTTGTGGATGTACCACTCTTGGACCTGTTGCAGGATATCCTCCTACTGTTGTCGAAACTTCTGAACAAACGCTGAAAAAATAAGATAACTTTATCGTACAAATATATTTATTCATTAATTGTAATTCCTGGATGTCTCTTCAAACGTTGCAATTGTAAACCTGGTTTCTTTTATAAGTTGTCGTCTTCTGTCATCCTCGTTCAGAACCTTTTTCAATTGTAAAAACAACTGATGCTTCTCTGCTTTCAACTGTGACAGTTCGTTGTCCAAGTTCGAGATTTGTTCTCGTGTTTCACCTAATGTCATCACATCTTGCTTTTGCTGACGCTCTCTTTCCTTGCGTAAACGTTCTTCCTCAGCATCAGCTTCTTGTTCTGAGATACAATGGATAATTTTTACAAACGAGTTTGTTAGAAGGAATTCCATTTAGTTAAAAAGATTTAAAAATCAAAGTAAAATTCATAAATACATTCAACTTGTGTACGACAGTTCACTTTTAACAGGCCTTAATATTAAGCACCTTGTTTCTTTCGTTGTCGCTCTCTCAAAATATGAGTTTTTAGCGCCTGCCACATTTGCTCATTGCGTTGCGGTGGTCCGACTAGTATCGCTGGCATTTTTTTTATATTACCTGATAAGTTCTTTCCGATGCTATGTATTTATTACCAACAATCAGTTCGTTTGCATTCGCATGAGCAGCTAGGATAACTTCGAAAGTTTATCCTTTCGTCCGGGTCTGACAGATCTTTCAGTGGATCTTACAAAATACAAATCCTTTAAAGGTTATGACGCAACGCGTGCGCGCGCGATATACACTCACATTATGACCGATATTTCATATATCGTACGACAAGGCTTTTCATGCTTGTTGATTGGCTGTAGGACAGAGAGTTTCTCGGATCTCTCTGTTTTAAGCCTTGTGTCCACGATCTTAACGCCATTCTATATTGGTCGTATCGTAGACGTCGTAAGTCACAAGCTTGTTGCTTCAGCCAATCCGATGCTTCAATTTTAAAGTCGTATGATGCTTACGACGCTTCCGACGCTACGATACGACAAATGTAGAATAGCCTTTAGAATTCAGTCCGAGATCTCGGACAGAGAAAAAATTAACAAATCACATTTGAACAATTTGATCACATGACCATTGCGATTGGGCAATTCTTTCTTCATCCGAGATCTCGGACCGATTTCTAGCATCGTGGACACAAGGCTTTACAGCCAATCAACAGTCTTGAAAAGCTTTGCGTACGATATATGAAACATCGGGCTTATGCTGGATTCACACTGCATCCGATTTTCGTCGTACGACGCTCTGCAACCAATCAGAAAACAGGATTCCGATGATACAAAGCAAAATCCATCGG